ATAATAATAATAATAATAATAATATATATATATATATTCAATATATCTATACTACTATATTTCAGACTAAACATTGATACAATTTTTTTTCATTTGGTTGAAACACATACATCCTATTTAGTTGATTGAAAATTGTCTGAAAAAAAGTTAATGTATAACATATATCAAGTGTCTATATTATCACTTGTATAGTAATGTCAATTAATGTCATTATATTGTATTTTTTTTAGTTGTTTGAGTAAATAAAATAACTAATTATCAGACAATCACACACACATACACACACACATACATACACACACACATACATACACACACACACACATACACACACACACATACATACACACACACACACACACACACACACAATCAATGCCAGTGTCAGCATATAATATTATAATGATATTTTAATATATCCTCAATAGTATTATTTATATTATTTAACAACAACAAAAAATTATTATAATTTTTGTTGTTGTATTGTTGATACACATTATTGACACTAACATATGGTGACATTATATGGCATTGAATTATTTCAATTAATATAAATAAATGTTGTGATTTTAATTAATAAATAAATTTATTTTTTTTTAAAAAAAATTGTTAAATAAAACATAAGGATAAATTTTTATTAAATTATTATTATTATCGAGGAAAATGTTACTAAAAGAAATTTCCCATTTAGAAAAATACGGGGAATTTTCTCTCTCTATCTGTTATTTCAATTCAAGTTTAAGATTTATATACATTTTATTAATTTTTTATTTAATTAATATATATTTTTGTAGTTTTTTTTAAAATAATATTATTATTTTAAATTATATATATATATAAAAATACAGGTACATAAATTATTATTACGATATTAATATTTATAAAAAATATAATTATAACGTTTAAAAAGCTGTTTCAACATTTTAATAATTTTTTTCTATTGCTTTTTATTATTATTTAATTAATAAATAATATATAAATAAAAAAAAACTTTCAGTAATTGACGTATTAATTAATTATAGTTACAAAATATATTCAAACGCACACAAAAAAATATATTTATAATATATAACTACAGTAACATTGATAAATAATAATAATAATTATTATTATTATTATTATTATTAACAAACAAAAAAAATAGATAAATATTGATTATGATATAATTGAATCAAAAAAAAATTATCAATTATCACATAAATATGATAATAATAATGAAACCGAAAATTAGATATTTATTATTATTATCAATCTTATAGACTATCTATTGGTTTTAATCCAAACAAATTGAGACAATTGGCCAATAATTTGTACAACAATTGGCAAAAATAAACTCTTGTGGCAATCAATGTCAGCAAATGCTGTGACGGTTCGGTCAAAACTTTTACTTTCTTATAGTAGACACTGATATCGTTGACCAACTGTTTTATGAATACAATCAATCGACTGGGCGTCTGATGACTGATTGACGACAGCTCAACAATGTCTAATCGGCCGATAATTGACTTGAATTTTGTGAATCCACGGAAAATCAGTGTCCACTCTAAATCGTCGGTCAGTAGACCAATATCTATGGCTCTGTCCTCCTGACCATTAGTATTAGTATTCGCCACCAAATAATCGGTACGGTATCTCCTAATAATAGCCATCAATCGGGCGCAGTTGTATTGTATGAAAATAGCTTCGTTCAGATAGGGATCAACTCTTGAGATGGGCAACGATGGTCTAGTGGTTAGCAATGATAGTGTTAACGATGTCTTGACTATTAGATCGATATTTTCTAATCAAATAAATAAAAAAGATTAATAATAACTATTATTAGTGAAACATAAATATAATCTTAATTATTATTATTTTAGTACCACTAGTGATATCTGAATCAAAGTTTTGCTCAATTAGTTGATCTCTCAGAGACTGTAGATAATCATCGTATGTCTGGTCCGTATGGACACCGGAAACCGGTACGACTTGAAGATTGACATTCAATATGTCATATAAAATACACATCACCTGAAAGGCTTGTTTCAGTCGATGGCTTAGCGATTCGGCAACAATGATAACGATTGTCATCGGATTTGAATTATCACTTTTCAGATGATATTTGATACTATCGTATAGATTGACAACCATTTCAAACACCAATTTCGATGTCTTCGGAATAACTAATTGATCTGTGAATATCACTTTATGGCCACTAATTGTACACAACTTGCCATCGCTGGCGTTGGCAATCATCTCATCGATCACTTGATCCGGTATTTGTCGATACTTTATCTCAATCAGACAATCAGTGTGCAAAAGTTTAGCCATTATTCGTGACAACTGATCCAATCGTTCATCAAGAAATCTGTTGTCGTTGTCGTCCTCAACAGTGTATAGTTTGACGACACATATCTTCGACACACTGTTGTTGGTGTCGTTGTCGACAATTTTCTCTAGATTTGACAGCAAATCAGTAAACTCGTCGACCAGTCGTACGGCTCCAGTCTTTCGGCAAACATTAAATTGAATACGTTTTGAGCTGTCATTGCAATCAAGGATACGATAGTTGTTGACCGCAAATGTCCATAACTGTCGGCTACTACTATCGACAACTAATTGATCGCAAATTCGGATCAAATGCGGAAACAATAGGTCGACAGCTTTCGGCAAATACAGCGAAAAGTCTCCTTTGGTTTTGGCGCCGCTTTCTTGACTAATACGCGACTTAAAACAACAATTATTAATCAGATGACGACTATTATCACTACCACTACAACAACCGGCTGGAAGTGTTGACAATGATTGACAACTGTTTTTGTGTCCTAAAATTGCTATCAACCTATCGATAGCCATGTCGTCTAAGTCTGTAAGATCTGTCAAACATTTTCGTAGATATCGATTCAAGTCGTCGACAAATCTATCGACAATCGGCGCCGACATAACTATTTCGGCGGCTTTAGTGGCCATTGATAATGTGTGACCAATAACTCAATCAATTAATTAATCACTAAAACTAAAAAACAGTTTCAAAAAAAATAACAAAATTGTTTACTTTTATAATTACAAGAATCACTTCCAAAATAATTAATTGGAAACAAACAAAAAAAAGTTTTTCAAAATTATTTCTAACATAAAAAACAATAGTTTTTTTTGTTTGGTTTGTTTGTTGTTTAACTTTACACTTAATTTATAGTTAATAATAGTTAATCAATAGTTATCAATAGTTAACACTAATTAACAATAGTTATCAATACACTATAAACACAGACATAAACACATATTAATCGTATGGATCACTGTTTACTAAATTGCTGGTCAAGTCCATCATTGGCGCCCTCGCGATTGCGGGCCACTTCAATGGCCAGAAATTGGACACGCGGTACAACAATCGTATTGGCTTCGCTGTAGTCGCTGCGGGCGTCCAAACGCATTAGTGTAGCGTAATTAAAGTCGTCGACTACCGATTCCAGGCCATTACAGTACTGGCGCCACTTGGCCTTAGCTATCGGTCGGGAGAAAACAATTAGTGGTCACACATATATACAATGATGGCCACCACCGCCACCAACAACAACAAACCTTCGTCACACTTGAGCCTGTCTTCGGTCAGCTGTTTGACATCCAAATCGGGAAACTGTTGGCGAAAATCTGAATAAATCTGGTCGTCCTGCGGCGTCAGTCTCAGTGTCCGGGCTGTCGGTACGGATGTTATCAATTTGAAATAGACTTCCATATGCTGTACGGCTTTCGTCAGCCACAGGCCTTCGATGGTCGGATCGTTGACAAACTCGTCGGCCGGTCGGTTCAGTACATCGGTAACCGATTGGGGCGGCGGCGACGGCTGTGGCGGTAAACTTGTATTATTGTTGTCCACTGAGTTGGCCGGAGTAGTCGGCTGATCGCCAGAGCTCATGGCCAATATATACTTGAACCCGATATATGTCCACAGTGTCCACTAATTAAACAAACAGCGATTTTTGGCCACAATTTTACCGATAATTATTATTGTTAGTAAACTAACAAAAACCACGTGTTTTACTATTAGTTTATTAATAATAATAATAATAATGTTTAGTATTGTGTGTAATATAAAACAATAAACATGTGTTTGCAGTAATAATGTGTTAGTTATTATTATTATTATTTCAATATCCAATAAAAACGGCTCAACTGTATGACAATATAGGCGCTATAGTTAAGCCCTTTTTTCTGATTTGATTGTATTTATGATTTACAGTATTTTTTTTTTAAATAAAAAAATTCAGGTTTTTTTTTTAGGGTACAGTAGTTTTTATGTATTACCGGTAATACTGTACTAATAATGACAACCCTTTTTTATACAGTATATACTACTGTATATAGTTGTTTGTTTGATATACCGGTTAATTTATAATTTATATGTAGATATTATTATTATGTAATGGTATTTTAACCCAAATAGTTTATACTGTATATACAGTATATATGCCATATTTGTAGGTATCGTATACAGTATAGTTACATCACATAGTAGAAAAAATTTCAATTAAATTATTTTTTAATATTTATAATAATTTTTAAAAAAATATATATATATATATATATTCAATAATTATATTAAATTTAATATATATATATTGGCTGCACTTTGATATTTGGGCCGCGCCGGAGGCGGGGATGGGTGGTATAGGTAGATAGTACTTGATGTCTAGTATATATATGTAAAATATAGGATATCGCAAACTAAAGGTTAAAAAGTTATTAACTTTTAAAATTAAAAAAAAAATATTTTTTTTGCAAAACTAATTATTTTTTGAACCTAATAACCTAACCTAACCTAACCTAACTTAACCTACCCTAGCCTAATCTAACATAACCTAACCTAACCTAACCTAACCTAACCTAACCTAACCTAACCTAACCTAACCTAACCTAACCTAACCTAACCTAACCTAACCTAACCTAACCTAACCTAACCTACCCTAATCTAAACTAACCTAACCTAAACTAAACTAAACAACTAAACTAAACTATAAACAAAACGAACAATTTAATATAAAGTAACCTAACAAAAATTTTTTTATTTAATAACTCAAATTACAATTTTTTCTATACGCTCTACGACCTACGTATAAGTCAACTACTCTAATCACTAGCCTACTGAGGCTCTACAAAGAAAATATACTAAATTACTGTTATTTATATTTACTATATATTGAATTTTTTAATTAAAATGTTCATAACTCCTTAACCTTTTGTTTGCGATATCCTATATTTTATATATGTATAGTAGACCTCAAGCACTATCTACCTATAGCCCCCACCCGCGCCTTCGGCGCGGCCCAAATATCAAAGTCCTGCCAAATGTTTTTTTTATTTCTACTTGAATTATAAATTTAAATATATTATTTATTTATTTTTTGTTGATATTATTGATTATTATTTTTGTTATCTAATTAAATATTTAATTAAAAAATAAATGTCTGTTAAATAATGTTTTTTTTTATAAAATAATTTTTCAATATTTTCAATAGAAATTTTTTAATAATATGGAAATGATAAATATTGAATTACATTATATATATATATATATAACAACCTATATATATATTATTTTGTATAATAAACTTATACAGAATATTTTGTATTTGAGAAAATCAAGTTTTTTTTTTAAAAAAAAAACTTATAAACGGGATAATTAAGGGTTTAAAAATATAAATAAAATAAAAATAGTTGCAATCATTAATAATTTTTTTTGGTCATTAGTAAAAACTAGTATTTTTTTTAAAAATAAATAAATAATAATTACATAAAATAAATTATCATAACTTATTAGTTATGATAAACTTATTACTACTGTATATATATATATACTGTACTATTAATATATTAAAATTTTTAAAGATAAAATATATATATATACACATATATATATATATATATATTCAAGCAAATAATAATGATGATAATGATGATGATAATTTATATCCTTGAACATGACTTACATTTGTGTGTGTGTGTTTAGAAACTATAACATTTTTAACATTTTTTTAATTACCCCCCCCCACCCCACCCTAAATAAAATGGGATTAAGTTATATATAATAGTTATAATATAGCTATTTAAATAGATCATCAATTTTTTTAAAAAATAAAATTTATCTCTTTTGATAACTGCTAATAAAAATTGCAAACAACTCAAATATATATATATATATACAGTATATATATATAAATTATAATTTAATATTATCACTAGTGTTCAAGTGTTAAGTTATTTTTGTTTGTGTGTTATTGTTAAAAAAATAACAAATAAATAAATAAACAAATAAAATTAAATAAATAATTATATGCTATTTTACAATCAAGTGTTTGTTAATTTTTGTTGTTTATGTATTATATATACTGTATTTTTGTATATCATTTTTGTGTAGAATATATATAAATATTTATTTTTTTAAATATATAAAAAAAACTTGTAATACTATTTACACGCATTCATAGGCAATAAGTAATCCTTAAGAGGAGAGAGAGAGAGAGAGATAACAAATCAAACACATTAAGTAATAATAATAATAATACATATATCGGAAAAACACGTTTTTCACTTCTGACATCAGGTAATAGTAATAATAATAATAATATATGTAAAATATATATACAGTTATTAGTATTTTTTGAGTATTAAGAAATAAAAAAAAAAGTCAGTAAATTAGGTAATACAAGGCTATTCACCTTTCAGTGCTATCTCTTCAAGTGTTTGTATATATAAACACATTGAAAATTATATTATATATATATTATATGGTGGAAGAAGACCATTAAGAAAATTAAAGCTAACTGTTCTCTCTCTCTCTCTCTCTCTCTCTCTCTCTCTCTCTCTCTCTCTCTCTCTCTCTCTCTCTCTCTCTCTCTCTTTATTTCTCGCTCCGGGAGACTGAGAGCGTCAGTAACTCGAAAACACTATCAAACAGAGAGAGAGAGAGAGAGAGAGAGAGAGAGAGAGAGAGAGAGAGAGAGAGAATAAAATATATACACATTTAAAAAATGATTGTATGACTACACACACACACACACACACACACACACACACACACACACATAGTATTAATTAAAGTAATGTATTGAATGAATTTTTGAATATATATATATAAAAAAACTAAATATTTTTAATCATAACGTTATGTTTTCTGTGTCTTATATCTGTATAATACCAGTCAAATAGTACTGACATATTTGTAAACTTTTTTTTAAAAACTTTTTTTTTAAAACAAAAATTTTTTAAATCAGAAAAAAAACTAAACCAAAAAAACTACTGCCAACTAATAAAAACCAAACCAAACCAACACATATACATATAGACAACCGATGAGTGGTTTTGAACTTGTGCTGAAGTATTTTTTTTTTTAAAGTGATGACCCAATTGTTTTTATGATATCTTGTGTGAGTATTGGGACAGTTGTTTGTGTGTATGTATGTGTTTTGGTAGATGTGCGCAAATTGATGCCAACGAGACATGCAATCGACACCATCATCGCTGATGAGATATCTGCTACGGATAGGCAGCCATAGATGGCTGACCGCCACCAACGCCACGGCTACTAACACAACATTAACAACTACTAGTACTACAGTTACCGCAAATGGATTGCCAATTACTGGTGTACGCCAACAGTCGACTAGTGTGCCGTCCAATATCAGTGCCGCCGTTGTCGAGGCCAATGAGCCAATAGCTAGTGGGGGCAGTGGTGCCGATTGGGATCGTGCGATAGCCAATGCCGAACAATTGGTCGGCCATCAGACTGTTAACTATAGTCTCCGGAGTCTACTAAGCGATGAGGTATACAATGTGGCACTTCATCTGAACAAATTGGTCGGTACTAACCATCCACTACTCGAGACAGCAAAGTAAGCAACAAATATATTATCTAAATATAAAATTTATATATAACTTATATAATATGGGTGTATATGTTTTATTATTATTATTGAATGGTGTTCCTCATACACACCACAACTACCGGTCCCAACCATCTCATCCATCCATCCAACCATTCATTTAGCTTTTTTCATGTGATATGACTTCTTTCTATTATAATAATAATAATAATAACAAAACTTTGTATTTTTTTTGTTATTATTATTATAATTATTTTTGATTATATTATTCTCTGTATACCTGTTTTATAGAAAAAAATCTTTTATATAACTTATATATATATATATAGTAATTATTTTTATTATAAATTATTTTTTTATTTTATATATATTCTTATTATATAAACAACAAACAAAAAAATATTTACTAATTTATTCAAATATTTTAATTGTATTGTATATTAAAAAAAAAAAATTTAGATTACATTATCGATAATAATATTTAATAAGTTTTTCAAAATAGTTTTTTTTAAATCTAAAATTATTATTACAATACATATACACAAAAAATTAATAATAATCAATTAAATTAATTATTTTTTTATTTATCTATTTATTAGGCGCCTGACATATACTGGCCATAAGCACATCCAAACTCGCGGACTCATTGTCCTATTGATGTCCAAAGCAGCCGGACATCCGCTAACATCTATCGACTACATCGACGCCCAACAATTGGCCGGCATATCAGGTCGGCAGCGATCGCTAGCCGAGATGACCGAAATGATCTATTCGGCTCATCTGATTCATCGGGGTATACTTAATCTGCAGCCATCATCACTACTACTATCGCAACCGCAATCGCAACCAACGAAAACCAAAGACCTACACTTTGGCAACAAAATGTCGGTCCTGTCGGGCGACTTCCTGTTGGCCAGTGTCTGGAAAGGCCTGGGCGAACTTCGGGATACCAAAGTGGTCGAACTGATGGCCACCGCAATCGGCGACTTTATGGAAGGACAGTTTGTCATCGAAACGCAGTCGCAGTTTCCGACGGCCCAGTGTGGCCGCGATTTTTGGGAAGAACGAAACTTTTTGCGTATCGGCAGCCTTCAGGCCAACAGCTGCCAATCGGCTGTACAACTGGCCGGCCATTCAGACAGTCTACAGCTACGGGCCTACAATCTGGGCCGAAATATAGCACTGGGATGGCAGGCATTCAACGAATTGCAGCCCTATATTGATTCAAGTGTACAACAAGTGAACAACAGTACAATGGATTTGATATCAGCGCCGGTATGTCTTCATATTGAAAACAATGGCCAATCGCTCGATGAAATAGTTCAAAATGGATCCGATAATCAATCTGATTACGATTATAATAAGCTACATGTGCTGATCAGGAATGGGCCGGCAATCGATAAGACCCGGCAATTGATACGTGAATATACCGATCGGGCACTGGAATCGTTGGAGGGCTTTCCCAAATGCGATGCCACTCAAGCCCTGTCCAACATTGTGTTTGCCATAAGAGACCAATAGTTAAAATGATAATAATTATTATTATAATATTAATAATAATATATTCATTGTGTGTTTGTGTAAAATCATTATTATTATTATTATCATTATTATTATTTTTTGAATAATATATAATTTTTTATATAAAATAATTAATTTTTTTTTAAAAAAAGACAAAATATCATTTAATATTATAGTAATTAATATATTTTATATGTAAACTAATTACAAGTGCAATGAATGAAAAAACATAACTATTTTATACAATTATATAATTTTTTTTTGTTTTTACCGGAAAATTATTGAACCAAAAATAATATAATAATTTTTTTGTTGTTGATTGATATGTTAACAGAAGCGCATCAAAACTTTAATAAAAAAAAACAATTTATTATATAATATATATAATATAAATAATAAAACTTATTTTTATAATAAATATAAACATTGATATAATTTAATATATAATAAACTCAATTATATATATATATATATATTATAAGAATTTATTTTTTTAAATACTTAAAATATGATTTTTTTTAATTGTTTCATAATTTTTTATTTGTATATTATTATCAATTAATAAATATATATATAATTATATTTGGTTTTACAAATAAACTGAATAATAAAATAAAATTTTAAAAAATAAATACTACTAATAATTAATAATAATTAATACTATATATATATATATATATATATAAATAATCTATCTAGGTAAATCTGTTTATTATACCAATTAATGTAGATTATCATCTATAGTATATTATATGTGTTATAAAAACTATACTATAATTTAATACATTAATTAATCCATTAATTAAAATTAAATTATAGTATGGTTTTCTATAACAATTAATTAATTAATTATATATATATATATATATATATATATATATTATTACAGGCAATATGTTATTAAACAATTTTACTCTATTGAATACATAAATTTTTAATTACCAAMAAAAACTCCGTAATTATCGGTAATTAATTAATTCATTTCATTTATCATTTCATCTATTTTTTCACTCATCGATGGATAGTCAACAACAACACCAACAAATGGACAGTCGTTTACCCAGTCGATACGTCTATTTTTTTTTTTTTTTTTTAAACTAATAGTGAATGAAGTGTTTTGTTTTATTTGTTTTTTTTATTTCAAGAAAAATTATTGTCTAAATGTTTTTTTATTTCTAATTGAATTAAAAATTTTAATATTTTTTGTTAGTATTATATTGTTATTATGTTTATCATGTAATTAAATATTTAATTTAATTTAATTAAAAAAACATGTCTGTTAAAATAATATTTTTTTATATAAAAAATAATTTTTCAATATTTTCAATAGAATTTTTTTTTAATAACATGGAAATGTAAAAATATTGAATTACCTTTTATTTATTTATTTTTAATATATATATATTATTTTGTATAATAAACTTTTACAGAATATTTTGTATTTCATAAAATCAAAATTTCAAAAAAAACTTATGAGACATGCAATCGACACCATCATCGCTGATGAGAGATCTGCTACGGATAGGCAGCCATAGATGGCTGACCACCGCCACGGCTACTAACACAACATTAACAACTATTAGTACTACAGTTACCGCTAATGGATTGCCAATTACTGGTGTACGCCAACAGTCGACTAGTGTGCCGTCCAATATCAGTGCCGCCGCCGCTGTTGAGGCCAGTGAGCCAATAGCTAGTGGCGGTAGTGGTGCCAATTGGGATTGTGCGATAGCCAATGCCGAACAATTGGTCGGCCATCAGACTGTTAACTATAGTCTCCGGAGTCTACTAAGCGATGAGGTCTACAATGTGGCACTTCATCTGAACAAATTGGTCGGTACTAACCATCCACTACTCGAGACAGCAAAGTAAGCAACAAATATGTTATCTAAATATAAAATTTATATATAATTATATAAAAAAAATATTTACTAATGATATTATAATTTATTCAAATATTCTAATTGTATTATATATTTAAAAAATTTAGATTACATTAACGATAATAATATTTAATAAGTTTTTCAAAATAGTTTTTTAAAAATCTAAAATTATTGTTACAATACATACCACACAAAAAAAATAATAATCAATTAAGTTAATTAGTATCATTATTATTTTTTAATATTATAAATCTATTTATTTATTAGACGCCTGACATATACTGGCCATAACCAGATCCAAACTCGCGGACTCATTGTCTTATTGATGTCCAGAGCGGCCGGACATCCGCTAACATCTATCGACTACATCGACGCCCAACAATTGGCCGGCATATCTGGCCGTCAGCGATCGCTGGCCGAGGTGACCGAAATGATCTATTCGGCTCAACTCATCCATCGGGGTATACTTAATCTGCAGCCATCATCACTACTACTACCGCAATCGCAACCAACGAAAACCAAAGACCTACACTTTGGCAACAAAATGTCGGTCCTGTCGGGCGACTTCCTGTTGGCCAGTGTCTGGAAAGGCCTGGGCGAACTTCGGGATACCAAAGTGGTCGAACTGATGGCCACCGCAATCGGCGACTTTATGGAAGGACAGTTTGTCATCGAAACACAATCGCAGTTTCCGACGGCCCAGTGTGGCCGCGATTTTTGGGAAGAACRAAACTTTTTGCGTATCGGCAGCCTTCAGGCCAACAGCTGCCAATCGGCTGTACAGCTGGCCGGCCATTCGGACAGTCWACAGCTACAGGCCTACAATCTGGGCCGAAATATAGCACTGGGATGGCAGGCATTCAACGAATTGCAGCCCTATATTGATTCAAGTGTACAACAAGTGAACAACAATACAATGGATTTGATATCAGCGCCGGTATGTCTTCATATTGAAAACAATGGCCAATCGCTCGATGAAATAGTTCAAAATGGATCCGATAATCAACAACAACAATCCGATTACGACTATAATAAGCTACATGTGCTGATCAGGAATGGGCCGGCAATCGRTAAAACYCGACAATTGATACGTGAATATACCGATCGGGCACTGGAATCGTTGGAGGGCTTTCCCAAATGCGATGCCACTCAAGCCCTGTCCAACATTGTGTTTGCCATAAGAGACCAATAGTTAAAATATATTCATTGTGTGTTTGTGTAAAATCATTATTATACATATATATATATATATAATTAAAATCTATCTAGGTAAATCTGATTTTTTATAAGCATTAATTAATATGAAAATTAATATTTTGAAAAAAAACTATTTTATTCAAATGTTTTTCAACAAAAAAATAAATAAATTTAATGGACACTATATATATAACATAATTATATATTTATTTATTTWAAAAAAATWAAAACTACTAATAATTACTAATAATTACTGCAATCTATAACAATTATATATATAATTAAAATCTATCTAGGTAAATCTGATTTTTATACCAATAAATTAATATTAAAATTAATATTTTGAAAAAAAAAAATATTTTATTCAAATGTTTTTCAACAAAAAAAATAAATAAATTTACTGGACACTATATATAACATAATTATATATATATATATATATATATATATATATAATAAAAATAATTATTTGAAAATTGAAAAAATARWTTWAWTTTAGTTATTATTAATTTATTATACAAACTAATAGATGGAAACGTTATAACTGTTATTCAAAAAAAAATTATTATTATTATATGGTTGTCATAACAACAACAAACAAACAAACATTGTTTATGTATTTAAAAAACATTTTTATTAATAAATTATTTAATAAATTATGTGTTAATTAAAAAAAAACTTTTCGGTAAATATTGACCGCCAAAATCGCCCGCGACTATTGAGACCATATGGACCATCATCATCATCATCACCAACAACAACAATATGGCCGCGAATCAGACGCCCGATTGCGCCAATTTGCCGACCAACTGGACTACGTGTGTCCGGCGGTCGGTCTAAACTATTTGCGTTCGCCGCTTGTCCGCTACCGATACCCGGCGGCCACACCAGCTATTGTCAATCGTATTGGTGGCCAACTGTTGGCCAATCAGCGATTCTATACGCAAGTGTGTCATCTGATGAACAAAATGAATCTGCCGGTGCCTTTCGATGACGATGATGGCCATCAACCCGATAGACCCGAAGACACTAATATGACGACCACTGCTGAGACTGTCGTTACCGCCGCCGGCCACCGAAGTCCGTCGGTGTGTTCGTCCGAATCGGAACTGGAAATGACCGACACTGAAGCGGCTGRTGTGCTGAAACCGCCGCCACCGCCGCCGCCAATACGATTGGCTAAGAGACCAACTAAACGATTGAAGACAGGATTTGTCGGCGAAAAGGCTGACCAACTGACCGATGAGTTTGTTGTTGCAGTCGACAAATGCAAGCCATCGACATCGTCGTCGTCCTCGTCGACAACGGCCGCTAAAGTGGCCGCGCAATCGCCGATAGATGTGTTTGAAAACTTGTTGACCGAAAAAAACTTAAACAAACAGAAACCCAATATTGCCGTCAAAATACAAACGAAAAATTTTAATTAAAGATAAAAAAAAAGTATTAATTAATTGATTGATTGATTTTTTGATTAATTATATTTATAAATATAAAATAAAATCTATTGGATTATAATCTATATATAAATTTAATATAAATTTTATTAATTATTTATAATATATGACTATTTATTCAATGATAGATCAATAGTTGTGGTAAATATATATATATATATATAGTATATTTGAGATTTTTACTGTATATTATCATCTATAGTATATTATATATATGTTATAGAAAAAACCACACTATAATTTAATCCATTAATTAATCCATTAATTAATCCATTAATTAAGATTAAATTATAGTATGGTTTTCTATAACAATTAATTAATTAATTAATTATATATATACGGGTATAATAGTACCGGTAATTATTACAGGCAATATGTTATTAAACAATTTTACTCTATTGAATACATAAATTTTTAATTACCAAAAAAAACTCCGTAATTATCGGTAATTAATTAATTCATTTCATTTATTTATTTATCATTTATTTTTCCACTCATCGATGGATAGTCAACAACAAATGGACAGTCGTTTAGTGGATTGTGAAGTGATTTGTTTAGTGAATTATTTTTTATTTTTTTAAAATAATTTTATTGAAAATTATTTTTATTCAACAAAAAAAATCAACGATCGATAACTACTTGAAGAAATGTAAGTCAAAATTATATTTATTTTAGTTATTTTTATTTAACATTTATTTAGTTGTGTTGATTATAATGTGAATTGTTTATTTAAATTGTAAAATTTAAATAATTTTTTTGTTTCTCAATTTTATTTTATTTTTCGCCACCAATTTTTGTCAATTTTTTTTTTGGTTTAAAATTCAATTTTCAAATTGTCTCAATTTATTTTATATTATTATAAGATGCATGCATTATATATATAATGTTTAGTTAGATATAAATTAAAGTGTCTATTATATAATGATAGTAAAACTTTTTTTATTTTTTTGTGTATTTTATTTTTGATTTTTGTTTGTTTTAAAAATTATTGATTTTGTTTTGCGCATATAATTTTTATTAGACAATAATTATTGTTGATTTATTGTGTAGACTAAATATAATATTGTTTTTTAATGTGTTTTTAATTAACACATACTGTATATATAAATTATTATTATTATCATCTAAAAGCTTAGTTCAAAGTTATTTATTTAAGTGACATATAAACAGTGGTAATGGTATTGTTGTTGTTGTTGTTGTTGTTGGTTGTGGTTGTCGATGATGTTATTGTTGTCAAAGTTGTCACAAATAATTGGATCCTAACGGTGCCCGAGCTATGTTCACGCTATGATAAGCATAGTTATATACAGTACTACTCTAGTAATGTGTATGTACTGTATGTGTGTATATGTATGTGTCTGTATGTGTGTGTGTGTGTGTGTGTGTGTGTGTGTGTGTGTGTGTGTGTGTGTGTGTGTGTGTGTGTGTGTGTGTGTGTGTGTGTGTGTGTGTGTGTGTGTGTGTGTGTGTGTGTGTTATGTGTGTTATATGAAATAATAATCATAAGAAACATATTTTTATTATCAAACAAATTCAATTAGTTTTTATATAAGTAATAATATAACACACTTTTATATACCAGTATATACTATATAATAGATATAAATATTTATTTATTATTGTATTTTTTTCGCTACATTTATCAAAAAAAAGTAATATTACTTTTTTTTATCATCTTATATATAAAGTTATATATATATATATATAAATTATTTCTTATTTGATGTCATTATTACCTACATATCTATACATTCAACCTAAAAATTTCAAGTGCTAGCTTTTCACACACACACACACACACACACACACACATACACTCAAACACACACACTTGAGACTACTTTCCCTTTAATATTATTAGGTGTGTGTGTGTGTATGTGTTATGTAACTAATGATTGAGTGTTAAGGTAAAGGAAAAATTTATTATATATTTTTAGTTAAAACTTATTAAATGCCTAAAAGATATTTATGAAAGGTTAGATAAATTAATCATCAGTTATAATCATCAGTTATTTTATCTACAGTATGTTTATAGATAGATAGATAGATAGATAGATGGCTGAATGGATAGATAGATAGAGAGAGGAAAGGTAGATATTTTTTTTTGTTTTATAAATAATTATTTGCCACTTATTTATTTTTCATAATAATAATAATAATACTACTACTGTTAATATACAGAATTTTTTTCATTTAAAAGTTTAACATTAATTCATTTCATTCATGCATTGAAATTGTAAAATCAAAAAAAAAATTATAAATATATTACAGTATGAGGTCTATGAGCTGTATTGTGATTGTATAGTATTATTATTACTTATATATTAAATGTGTGTAAGTAATAGACAGTGGGGTGTAATGTGCTTATTATGTATTATTATTTTTTTTATGGTATACCGGATTTTGGTAGATATATCTCTCACACACACACTCACTCACTTACACACACACACACACACACACTACTCACCCATAGGTGCGGCCCATACACTGATTTTTTTGTTGGTTGTGTTGTTAAGTTGATGAGAGGCGCAGCCCTTTTTTGTACGGCTATATGAGGTTCCGGGTTTGGGCTACTAAATCATTGCTAATATTATTATTATATATATAGTCTATATATACTGTATATATGTGTGTGTGTGTGTACTCCGTGTGTGCGACCTATGATCCCATACCATATGCCAGTGTTAGGAGTAGTAGTAGTAGTAGTACTAGTAGTAGGAGTAGCGCACAAACACACACACATATATACAGGCAGATGACTCCGGTGAGAGAAGCCGGAGATGGGTTTATATRTATATATATATACTGTATATATATACTATTTGATAGATATCTACTAGATTACTACCTACTTGTGCTCACCGCTATTATGGAGATGTCAATTATCTATCTATCTATATATTCAGTACAGTATATATTTAGTGGAAAGGCATTTAATGAATGTCTGGGTCTACTGTATTATCTATGATATTAAAAAAATATCAAATTTGTCTAAATATACTGAACATTACACAACATATGTGTGTGTGTATGCATTGATATAATAAATTTTATATATATATATATATTTTTTTGAATGTATAGTTTTTAATGGTGTGTTTTGTGGATAACATTGAAAATATATTWAACAACACAACAAAAATGAAACCCTATAAATGTTTTCTATATATAAGTTTTATAACTTATATGTTTGTCTATAATATATATATGATATATATTTAATTTTAATATATAATATTATATAGTTTATATAAATTTATAAATTACATTAAAATTAAATTAGAAAATTTGAAATTAAAATTTTATTTAATAGTAATAAAATATATATAATAATACTGTAAATATAGTTAGAATTGTTTTCTCTCTCTCTCTCTCTCTCTCTCTCTCTCTCTCTMTATATATATATATATATATATTATACTATCTATTAGTGTTATTATGTGTTTAATTGATTTATCATTTAATTTGAACAAATAAAATCACTTAAAATTAGTCAACTAAATAAATCAAATATTAGTCAAATATATACAATATATACTGTATATACGGTATATTTGATTTACAAATATTTGATTTTTAATGCATATTTAATGTTAATAGTATTGTATATTTACAGTACATATGCAATATTTTTTTTGTTGCTTTTATCTTATTATATCTTATTATTATTATTATTAACTATAGGTTTTATTGCATAATATATTTAGTATTTCAATACATTAATTGATTAAAGAGAGAGAGAGAGAGAGAGAGAGAGAGAGAGAGAGAGAGAGAGAGAGAGAGAGAGAGAGAGAGAGAGAGAGAGAGAGAGAGAGAGAGAAATCACATATATTTCTAGTGTGTATTTTGAAACACATTTTGTGTTTTATTCATGACTGACAACACATTTGTAAATTATTTATACTTTATATACTGTATGTGTATTTGACAGTTGTTTTTTGAAATATATTTTTTTTATAGATTATTGGAGATAAAATATCGGTATATCTAAAAAAAAAGTTATAAAAATATATACTATTAATATATATATATATAAAAAAATTACTATTACATTGATTTTCATTTGATTTGATTTGATTTTTTTTTGTTGATGACACACATATGTGAATAATTAAAGTGTTTTTTGTTGAAAATTAATATTTAATATTTAATAAACTAAAAAAAAATTTGATAACTATTAGTAGTATAGTATAGTTAAAATAAATATAATGTTAAAATTAATACACTACAATTAATAGAAAATATTTTCAATATGAGTTTTTAAAAAGCAAATAAAAATAAAAAGTGAAAATTATTTTATTTATTATTTTTTGTTAACCAATTATTTTCCAACATTTATAATAATAATAATAATAATATTTTTTTAAATCTTTTTTTTTAAACAATTGAAAAAAATAAAACTATTAAATCTAAAAATATTTTTTTTAAATATTTTGTTTATTATGGTATATATTTTGTGTGTTTGTATAGATCTTAATAATAATTTTGTTTTTATTTTCACAAAAAAAAACTCATATTGAAAATGCTTTTCTAATTGCACTCATTATTATTATATTATTTTTATTATTATTATCACAATTGTTATGATTATTATTATAATAATAATAATTATTATTATTTTTATTATTTTTGGATATGTCTTAGTGAATCGTCGTTGACATCTAATAATAAAGTGATTGCATATATAATTATTATAATAAAAGTTTTATTTTATTTTATTAATATATATATATATTTCTAAGCATTTTATGTTTTATATACTAATAGAAAATTTTATTTATATATATATTTTTTGATGAAATATTATTATTATTATTGCGTGAAATATTTGTTTGCCTTTTCATGAAATAATAATTACTTTATAGATAATAATAATAATAATTATTATTATTATTATTATTATTAATTTAATAGTTTATGCATCGTTTAGGCTAATGTTAAGCAAAATAATTAAATAAAACTATTGTATATTTATATATATATATATATACAGTATATTTATATAAGTATTAATTCAATTTATTTTTTGATAGAAATTATTTTATGCAAATATGATAGAAATATTTTTTTCTCTATTTGTGATATATTATAAAATTTATTTTAACAATAGTTTTGATAATAATAATAATAATAATATTTAATAGATTTTTATGGTTGAAATGTATAATGTTTATTAAAAACTATTAGTTATACTCATATTATTTAATAAAAATAAAATTTTAATATATAAACTTAATATATTATAGTTTTATTTTCTTATTGATAAAATTCATATATATATATATATATATATATATTATATGATTAATCTATCTAAATTTATATATATATTATTTATAATATTTATATTGATATGTTTATGTATTTCCTGGACTAATAATTTATATGGGTTGAGACACATAGAAATATATTTTATTTTATTATTTTTTTTTAGTTAATATATTATATATAAATTCATATAAATTCATATAAATTTATTCATTTTGAAATGTTTGAAATCCACTAATAAATATAATTGAGTTTTTTTGTCAGATGAATATATATATATATATATATATCTTTTGAAAATATTTTTTTCAAAAAATACAGTATATATATATTTTTTTGATTTTTTATCTAAACATTATTTTTATTTTATAACTATAGACACTATAGAAATATATGGTTTTATATATACTGTATATATATATATATATATATATATATATATTTATTTGATGTTATCGATTTTTAAAATTTTAGTGTTATTTGTTTTTTAAAAAAAAGTTAAAATGAAATGATTTTTTTTACTATTTTTTAGTACTATATTTTTATAGGGTATTAAAAATCAATTATTATAAAAATAATAAATAATATGTTATGATTTTTTAATAAACAACAATTTATAGTTTATTTAGGATTTATTATTATTATTAATTATTTGAAAACAACATTTATTTACAAATATTTTTTTTATTATTAAATATATTAAATTATCAATATTTTTGTCGTTGTTATGCATATACAAAAAAATATGTATGTTTACAGTGTGTGTGTGTGTGTGTGTGTGTGTGTGTGTATACAGTAATTAAAAAAAATTATTAAATTATTTATACAAATTGTTAATGAAATGTGTGATTAGATTTGAATTATAACAATATAATTAATATTTTTTAATATTTTTTTTGTTGATTTTTATTACATCAATGATTTGATGTGTGTGTGTGCAATGATTTGTTTAAAAAAAATTAGTATAATTATCATTTATATTACTTATTGATTGAAACTTATTAGTATATAATTTTTTTTTGGTATCAATATATCTGAATTAATTACTAAATGTACATTAAATATCATCATCACATCAAATATAACAATAGTTTTCAACAATTAAAGAAAAAAAACAAATATTTTACATATTTTTTTTTATAAATAAATTGTTTCCTATTTAAATTGGTTTTTATTTTTTTTTTGTTTAATTTTTTTTTGTTTTTGGTTTTTATATATCACTTTTTAATCTAAAGGACAACAATTTTTATTTATTTATTATTATTTTTAGTGTTTATAAAATTAATAACATAACTGATTTTAATTATATATATTTATTTGTTGTTATATTAGCAAACTATTTGATTGATTTTATTTTTATTTTATTTTTTTTAACTACCAGTTCTCACAAATCTAATCCATCACTTACTTTACCTATACTTGTGCTATGATTTTGTTGATCCCATTATCATTGTGTTAACACTTTGTTTGTTGTGTGTGTTTTAGATAAAATTATTATTATTATTATTATTATTTTTGTATCAAATTTTGTATCAGTTTAATGGTCACAATTCAGTTTCAATAAATCTGATTTCAGGTGGCGTTTCGTCCCCCCCATCATCGATACACACTGATGGCGGTTCCCCTATACCACCCCCACAACCACCGCCACCATTACCCCCGGCCGCCTGATAACCGCTAACCGATGGGGCGCCCAATGTTGTACCGGCCGTTGTTGTAGTGGTTGTCCCGCCCTATGATTTAAAGTAACCGAAAAAAAATTATTATTATTTTTTTTTTAAAAAAATTTAAATAAATTTTTTATTTCTGTTTTTTGTTACAGTTGTCGGATATATTACAGTATATATTGATATAACTAATGATTTATTTCTAGTAATACTATTATACGATATTATATTTTTTTTTGGAGGACAGTTGTGTTTTAGTTTCACTACTATTACTACTACTACTACTACTACTACTACTACTACTACTACTACTACTACTACTACTACATACTCATATATCATCAAATATATATATATATATAAAACAAACAGCAAAATAATTTATTTTTTTATGTCGAAATTTAATACAAACAGTGTATGACTACTACTACTACTACTATGGCTACTATTACTACTACTATTACATCAATTAAAACTACACAAACAAAATAGTTATGCAATTAACGACTGGTAAATAATTATGTTATAAACTAATAATAATAATAATTTTTTTTAAAAAAAAAGTATTTGATTTCTAGATTTTTATTTATTTATTTTTTTGTTGGTATTGTTTTTCAATAGTGTTTTTTGTTGGTCACCACAAATACATAGACCCCTTAATTATAGGACACATATGTTTTATTTCACTGGAAATATGATACCGTTTTTTATATATATATWTWTTTTTCCTTACTGACTGATTATTTGTTTGCTACTAAATATTTTGCTATTTATTTTTTTTGACATAAAATATAAGTAGTTTTTTGTATCATTTTGTTTTTTTTAATACTGTAGTAATATATGTATATTTATATTATTAAAATAAATAGTAGTATAAATAAATAATATGTATATTAATATATATTTTCTATATTAAAAATACTATTTATATTTATTAGTATTAATATACTGTATATATATTTTGATGATATATTGTATATATATATATATTTATTACTAACATTTTTGTTTGTTTGTTGTTATTATTGCTATATTTTAGCTATTTTATCATATTTTTATATTAATAAAATAATAAATAAATAAATAACATCAAGCACACATATATCTAAAAAAATAGCAAGGTTGATTGAAATAAAAATTGTATAAAAATTACACCCATGGTTATTACACACACACACACACACACACACACACAAATTTGTATAATACAAACAAAAAACATAAATAATTGAATTAAAATACACTACCATATATCTACCGGTGCCGCCACCAAAATAGTAGGGTGTATTAGCCATGTTATTTGATTTGCACCGGGATTTCATCATAACATAGCGTATCATTATGAACGACATAAATATAACGTATAGCAATAGTACTACACCGACATAGATAAGCGCATTAACGCCACTGTTTGCATGCGAATCCAGTATCGACTGATGACCGGGACTGCCGGCATAGGCCTGGCCACCACCGACCGTACCGTACGGACTACCGAAATTGGGTGCCGTTTCGTGTGGCAGTCGTCCACCACCACCACCTCCTCCACCACTAGCGGTGATGTCGTGATTACTATTGTTATAGCCATTGTTTAAGCCTTTTGGTGTACAGTTGACTCGCAATTGGCCTAATAATTGGTCCATTAAGTCATCTAAATATCCAAAATAGTTATTAATTATCAATTAATAAATTTTTTTAGTTAYRTTTTTATTATAGAATAGATAGAGAATAATAATAATTTTTTTGTTTTACAAAAAATAAATAAATAATAGTTATTTTCATTGATTGATTTGACTGTTAGTGTTTGTTTGGTTAATAATTAAAACATTTAAAAAAAAATTAATATATTTTTTTTAAGTAATAAAATGTATTTAAAAAAAATATTATTAATTTTAATTCACTAATATATAAATTTATTTAAGTATTTGTGAATATATGTGTAGTAAATATCTGTGATTATATATATATATATATATAGTTATATAAATCAAAATATATTAATAATTTATTACTATATGATTGCGTGTAATATTATTATAGAGTTATTACATTAATTATTATTATCCATCAATAATTTAATTTTTTATTATATTGTGTGAGAAAAAAAATAATATTTTATATTACATAACAAAAAGAAAGTGCAGTTATCTTATAAAATACAGCATAAACTATACATACTGTATATATATACTCAACATTTTTWWWAAAAATTTATATTAATAACAAAAAATTCTATGTTATCTATAATTATTATCACCAAAAATATTTTGGTTATGTGTGTGTGTGTGTGTGTGTGTGTGTGTAATATACTATATATATATTGTATTTATAGCAGTATATTATTATATTATAAATCCTAAAAGCTTATTATATAAGTAATATACTGTATATATATATAAATTTATATATAGTACTACATGTATAATATTTATACAGTAAATATTATTATTATTATAGTAGAAAAATATGTAAGAATTTTGCGTTAATGTATTATTAAGAAAATTTTCGTATTCACACACACACACACACACACACACACACACACACACACACACACACACACACACACACACACACACACACACACATACATACATACATACATACACACACACACACACACACACACACACACACACAYACAYACACACACGCACATACACACACATACACACATATACACACACATACACACATATACACACACACACCGTACATACTGTACATATAGATTGAGCTAAAACTTTGTCTTTGAATATAAATATATAAATTATTAAAAAAACTTATAATAAGTATTAATATTATACTGTATATTACGATACTCTATACAGTATATTACGAAATAGTTGTAATGTTATGTAAAGATATATACTGTAGGGATTAATAAGTATTATTAAATTATGTATTACAATATATATATATATATATATATATATATATATATCATGTAAAGTATAGTATTTAGTATTAAATCATAGATATTTTTGGAAACATTTTACATTTGGTTGATAAACAAAATTATGATTAATATATATTATGTTTTTAACTATAGTTCACAAAAAATGTATGTATATAACAACTTATTAACTTATAAACAGATTAATAATTATATCAAGGTTATTATTATTGTATTAATCATTATTTTAATTTTTTTTAATACCTATAGTGTGAAACAATATTGTAAAATTATTTTGGCAAATAATAATGTTTTATTGATAATAATAAATATATCTATTATATTACAGTAGTATTGTAATTATGATTATGCTATTATTAAAACTTATTATAAATAATAATATTATATCAATTTTCTAGATATTTAGGAAAACACATTTAATCTGTATTTTCTATATATAATGTATATGTGTTATATAAATTAATATATATATATATATATATATATCAGTCACTTAAAAAATAATTTATTTTATTATGTGCAATTTAGACTACTGTATCTATACAATAGTGTCTAAATTGAATTTATATTAATATTTTTTTTTAAATAAAAGCAATAACCTATACAATTTTGATGTCAATTTTTTTTGTTTGTTTGTTTGTGTATACAATTTTTAAGCTCAAATAAAATTAATTAAATATATATTTAATATATATATATATATATATATATATATATATAGTAATTCAATAGTTTTATGACTTTTATACAGTACAGTATAACCTCATAGACATATATATGGTCTCTGTTTTTGTCGCAATTTTTATATGATATCACTTAAAATTTTATTATTATTATTRTTATGATGATGTTGTTAAGTTATATAATATATATGTATATATATAACTTATATTTATATTTTATATTACAATTTAAAAATCAATTTGATTGCAATATAATAAAAATTAAGTAAATCTATAAATTTATAAATTATTATTTTTTTAATTTTAATTATTATTATTATTAAATATATAGTATTTTAATTATAAATAATAATAATAATTAAATGTAATAAATTTTAAACATTTAAACATGTGCTGACAATATGTTTTTAAAAAACTACTTAAAAATAATTGAATGATTAAAATAAATATAAAAAACATTTTATATTCACAAGTCTATAGTTGTTGTTATTTTAACAAATATTTTTTTTTTTTGATACTTAATATCAAAAAATAAATATATTTTTAAAAACATAATATCATATATACTGCTTATAAACTGTATGTTAAAACTTTTATGTACTAATAATAATAATAATAATAAATCATTTGCATTTAAATAAGTTTTATGTCAATAAACATATATTATGTATTATTGATATATATTAAGTAATATAAGACATAATAAGAAATTGAAGAAAAACAACAAAATATGAAATTGATTTGATTTACATTAAAACATTGCAAACATATTATACACAGTATTAGTACTGTATATTCAAAAAAAAAAAAAATAAAATATTTGACAATTTTTATTCATATGAATGTTTTTCAAGTCATATATTCGTACAAATAAGCCATACATTTGTGTATTATAAATGTATTTTGATTATGATTTACTCAAATCCTATGATATTATTTTTATTTATTTATTTATTTATTTTTTGTATATAAACTGTGTGTCAGTATTTTGACGAGAGATAGAAAGAAAGAGAGAAAGARAGAGAGAGAGAGACTATATATTATAGAGTCTATAATATATAGAGTAATAGTGTGACAAAATTGAATGGCAAACACAAAATGTATTGCAATTTTGTTTATTTATTTTTTATTTTTTTTGTTGTTGTTGTATACCAGCATAACATCCCCTAATACTAAAAGTACTACTATTCCTAATATAATACAGAATCTAACCGTAACTCATGTGTCTATGAGATGATAGAAATGTATTGGCATTTTATATATATATATATTTCTATCTTTTTATATTTTATCATATAGTATGTGTGTGTGTGTATTCATATATATTATATTATATTACTACACAAATACAACTTATTATTTATCTTCAATATAAATATCTATATATATATATATAAAGTTATGGGAAATAACCCACTTGGTGAATAAAAAGCACTATTACTTTATATAAGTTATATATATATATATATATATAGATAAATATAAGTTATAAACACCATTAAAACTTGTACATAATGTACAATATATTTACTGTATATATATATATATCTTATATACAGTGTATAGATTTTTTTGTTGGGTGTATATCTCGACTATAGTTGTGTCAAAAAATAACAACTTTTTGTGTGTATATGTGAGGCATATAGTCGTTTAATGCGATAGTTTTTTGAAAGGCAATAGACTGTATGTATGTATATATAGTATATATATAAATACAGTAAATACTATGATTTGATTTATGACACAAACACACACACACACATACCGTACATACATATATACATACATACTATACATACACTCATAACACAACATTAGACATAAATCTAATAATCAAATGTCTTATTTAGTCAACTTTCTCTCTCTCTCTCTCTCTCTCTCTCTCTTCTCTCTCTCTCTCTCTCTCTCTCTCTCTCTCTCTCTCTCTCTCTCTCTCTCTCATCAATGATAAGCCACTTGACAATGGATTTCAATAGTAATTTATGTGGACTTTATTGGACGCAACAAATTAATACATTTGTTTTATGTATACTGTATTTATATACATACAGTACTACTRTATATATATATAGTTTGCGTTGATTAACACACCATAAGATTCCCCCGAAAGTCATTGACAAACAGTATATACAGAGAAAGCCATTACTGAAAGTGAAGTGAAAAAAATAAATAAATAAAATCAATACATAAAAACTAAATATACTGTATATATAGATATATATACAGTATATAAGATTTGCTTAATTGATGACTTAAATAAATACAGTATATATATATATTATGTACTTATCAAAGAGCTTCTCTCTCTCTCTCTCTCTCTCTCTCTCTGACTATAATTTTTTATCGCATTTTTTGTTTTTGTTGTTTAGTTTTATTTACTTAAAACATTTGGCCATTAGTTTTGTCTACACAAAATACCAATAGTTATATACATTATGTATTTACCTTTAAAAATACATTATAATATTTTAGTAGATTTTTATTTTTAAATATAAATGATTTCTAATTATATTATTTATAAATGTTTGAAATATGTTATTATAAAACAATTTTTTTAAACTAAAAACTCGATTCGGTTTTAATTTATTGAAACAAATTATATATATTTTGTGTATATATATATATATATTTTTAATCAATTGTATAGCTATTATATACTGTAGTAAAAGTATATTTTTTGTTGAAAAAAATAATTTAAAATTTTTTTTATTAAAAAGATATCCGATACTAGATTTAAAAAATAAGTTTTTCTTATTATAAAATAATTATTTATTATAATATTAAATAATAATAATTATTATATATATATATAAAATATAAAATCATCAATATCAATTTACCCACCAAAAAAAATATTAATTTAAAAATATATTATTATTATATTTAATAATACTATTGGTTGCGATTTTTGTTGTTATTATCAAAATTAGTTAATACTTTATTTTTAAAAAATAAAATAAATATTATTTATCAGTAACATCTTGAATCAGTATAGCATTAATAATTTTCTTATTAAATATACAGTATATACACAAACAAAAAAAATAAATA